GAGTGACTTTTGACCCTTCAAATCCCACAACCAACATTTTACGTGCCCTTTTATGGCTAACTTTAACAATTTATTTCTCACTCACCGAAAATCAGTTTTGAGAAAATAAATATAACACGAGTATCTACTCGGAACGTAGAATTTTTCTGCAATATTTAATTCAACTCAAATTAAATATTTAGCCATCAAAAATTCAGTCAAAACCGGGTCAAACCTAAGTTTTATAACTGATTTTTCCAACAGTACAAAAACCAGGTGCAACTGTCCAGCTTCTGTACATTCGGCAATTTTAATGAAAAAAATTGTAGACATATTAAGTAATAAACACATACATAAATTAGCATAATTGAATATTGATTGATACCTTGCGTTGGCGGCGGATGGTGAGAATCGAGTTTCCCAAGGCATCCATAAGGAAGATCTCATTGGAATTGGATACCCTAACTCTGTGAGGGCTGTCGATGATGTAATTGTCGACCCGATAGATAAGGTTCCCATTGGCATCAAACACGGTGAACCCCTCGCAGTTGAGAACCAACGATTTCTTCCATACTGTCAGGACTACCATTGGATCATCATCGCTGCAACTGGAAGAAGAAGGAGGGGAAGGACTCCAGCTGAACCCATTCCCGTTGGGGTATATCTTCTTCATTAATTCCCACTTCATTCCAATTTTTACAATCCCAACTCTTCTTTTCTTTTATTTTCTTTTCTTTATCCAAGAGAAAGAATAAGTATAAAATGATATAGCTGATTTAAGAGTTCAGCTTCATTGGCCATTGCCCTGTATATATACTCTACTCTTGGAGTCAGTTACTACGCTTTATTTTCTTTTTAATAATATATAATATAAAATAAATGTCGTATGCTGATGGGAAAACTTTAGATACAACTTAATTTTTTAACAGTTCGTTTGGTGAGTTGGAAACGACAAATGTGTGGAAAAGTCGAGTGGTATAAATTTATAATGGATAGAGACATTGACATGAGATGAGCTAAATTTATAAGAGTCAAACAAGTTTTGCTGCCGGCCAAACTTTCGCATCAACTCCAAAATAAGGACACTTTGCTGCAATATATTAATATATAATAAGGATTAACATAATTCACTTTTAGAAATATTTTCTCGTCAATTTCATTAATTATGCCTAAAAATAGTAAATTAATAAAATTAATATAATTAATGGTCATCTCTAATTACTTTACCATGACTGAGATATGTTCGAGACAGTTAGTTCTCCCAGGATTTGGAGGTCGGGGGCCTTAATATTCCACCTGGTACCCGATGCAGGTCGAGGGCCTTCATTTTTCGGGTTGTGCACACGAGCGGCCAAGGCCGACAAGGGTCTATTGACCACATTTAAAGTTTAAGAAAATTTTACAGTACAATACAACTTATTTATTATATGCTGCTTTTAAGTTTATGCTTACAGTTGTGATTATTACAATTCTAGCTTCCCACGAGCACACAGATTTGTTCTCACACTCCCATAGTCTTTCCTATTTCAGGTGCCGGAGTTTAGTGTGCCGGGTGAGCAGACGTGGCAAGCGTGGTCATGAGCAGTGGACATTTTTACGCACATTTTATGTTCTAAAATTCATGATCACGTATTATATGTAATATGTATGCATGTATTATTCAGTTAAGATTCTGCTAAACTAGACAGTGCGAGACAGTCGGACTTGCATGTGTGATTCCATTATCTCCGCAGTGGATTGATTTGGTTGCATGTTTTAGTAAGTACGATACGAAAGTTTTCGTAGCATCTATGTAAGAAGCATTTTCGAAACCCAGCTCCCACAATCTTTCGAAAATACAAGCAAAAAATTAACTCTAATTTTCAAAGCTAGTAAGACGGAGTATTACAACACAAAATGGACCTTGTTTTATATAACTTGTAAACTGCTCCAACTAATCGCTCCAACTAATCCTTGTTTCTTTCTTCGAGGACAAGCCTTATTCATTTATGTCGCTAATTCACATTGGACTGCATATTAATTGTTTTTTAGCTTCCCCCAAATCAAAAGCATAACACAGACAAGATGGAGGAGGTTTAGTGTGACTTCTTTTTCCTCTGGCGTATCATAAATGCACAACTTGTTTACTTGGGAAACTCCACACTATACAAGCATATGTGCTTTCACCACAATATATATACAATACGCACACAAAACATAAATTAATACATTAAGAGTAGTCTATAATTCGTTCAATTCAAGAGAGTGAATTCTCCTTTTCAGCCATAAGCATGAGCATCTCAAGACGCCTGTCGAAAATTGATGCACTTTCATCCCTCTTGTCGAGTTGAGCACCTTCAGCCTCAAGCCATTTCTCTCTCAAATCATCAAGAAGGTTTCCAGGGCTGCTTATATTTGCTTCAGCTCCCGGCGCACTTGGGACCGTTGTTCTAAGTGTTGAATCCCCAGATGGAGGTGGCAGGGTCAAAAGCATGGCCCGAAACTCCCGAATATTGGCCAAAGTGTCAAAATTGCATGCTACTGCATCTAGACAGTATTCACGAATCTTGGAGACACCATACCTGGAGAAAAAAAAAATTGTAACAATATTCTGTTTCTTTACAAGAAACAACATAAGAGAGGGAGAGAAGCGTACATATCAGATAGCAGCAACCAATGACATAATTCTGCAGGAGACATCATTTCCAGTTGTGGTAGAAGAGCATCAGCCACTACACGTTTAAGAGGAAACAATAGGTATCTTGAAGCAGCATCAAACATATCTTCGGCCTGCATAATTGAAGACTTAATAGGACTGGAAAAATATAGCATCAGCTGCTAAGTTGTTAGTCGGTGAAGCACACCTGATCAGGGTGTATGCCCATCAGACCATCAGTATACCTGAATAACAATATATATAGTATGCATTATCCCACTCTAGAAAATCATAATTAACTTAAAAATTTGAGGATATTAGCACGATATCAGGGCAAAAATTGAGAAAGTATCAAACACCAATTTTCACCCGACTATCGACCACTTCCTTCAAACCCACCCTAAAATATAAAATCTAAGGTTTTGTTTTTTATTATGATCAGTGATTCCTTAAAATCCACCTCAGGCTTGAAAATCTTACATTTTTTTTTCTACAATTTGATTGTTTTCCCCTTATTTTTATCATCCGCTATATCATCTCAATGAATGAATAGAGATTTAATACAATCTTGTACCCTAGAAAATAGCAATAATGTGAACCAATTCCTGTATATATAGTTGCTGCTCTAAACATTTTCAACAAGTAGCTATTTCAGAAGTTAAAAATAAGCTTTTGTACGTGCAACTAACTATAAAATATTAACTTCACTCATGTTTGAAGAAAAATGTCGCAAAAAATGTTTCAAGCATAAAATGAATCTAACTTAACCAACATCTAGTGGCCATTAAGAGTGTGTGTGTTATAAACATTAAATACAAATGGGAACAGAGAGCACGGTAGATAAAGATCACATACATATATTCCACCATTTTTTGAAAGGCCTCTGTGCTCAGGTCATGTTCTTCAAGACACGAAAGGGTATGATCAGGTAAATATTCTTTTCCTTCAAGAAAATCTTTCCTTCGGGATAATCTTGCCCTAAAGTATTCAGATCTTGAAGCTAAGATAACTTGATGACAACGGAATTTGTTCTTCTCAACTCTCACACTAATATCTGCGAGATCATCTTCCCAAGCAGTAGTCTGCATTAAACTAACAAGAGATACATCATTGACCCTATTCTCTAGGTCTCGTCCTCTGGAGGAATTGGCGAGAGATATTCGGAGGACTCGACCCAAAGCAGCAGGGAGACGATCTTCCTCTGGAAGGGAAAGGCCCTGCAAGATGAACCTCTTCTGGGAATTGTCTATCTCTCTAAGGGCTTTGTAGTCCGCATGCTTTTGGTGAACTATTTCTTTCTCAAGAAGAGTCTGTAGAGACTGGCACTTGCAAACTCGGCACATTCTAACAAGATCCTCCATGTCATCAACGGCTACTTCCAGTCTGTCAGAATAAAAGAAGAGGACAAGGCTAAAGAAAGATGGATAAGAAAGTTTTTTGCGGGAAAAACGTACTTCCTTCTTCCCTTTCCAATCAGTCTCAAACTTTCTCTTAAAGAATGGGGATCGGGCACTCAAGATAAGTCTGTGAGCTTCAAGGGGTCTTCCTTGTACATAAAATACAATATCAGGAGGAGAGTAGCTGGAATTGGATTCTCCATTCAACGCATTACCTACGTTTCATGTTAAATCGCCAAGTAAGCATTCTCTAAGTTTTTGGAAACCTTGAAGAGAAGAGATGTACAACAAAGCCAAACAGAGAGCACAGGTCGAGATGAATGAGCATGTGCCTAGAAAATTTGTCTAATAAAATGATCAATTAATGAATATAGAAACATGTTCCAAGACGAGATAGGACTCGAAGGGACCTGACCTGACACAAGTGGAGCCGTATGAGTGTTGGAGTTGAAGAGATGTTGTAGATAGGCCCGATTGGCTTTGCAGGCCAGGAAAGTGTCTCTGAGGGCGGCCTGCAATGGTTGGAGAGGGGGGGGCCGGGCCTCGAAGACCTTGAGCAATTTGCGGACCTTGAGATTGAGAGCGGCGTAGTGGCAGCGATCGCCATCGAAGGTGTGCTCGGAGCAGATGGCACCGCTCTCGAGCAGCATACACGCGACTTCAAGATGGCCGGCAAGGCAGGCATAGTAGAGCGCCACCGAGTCCCACTGGTCCCGTGCATTCACGTTCACACCGCACTCCAATAGGTAGCGCAGGCGCTCCACGTCCCCGGCGCGTGAGGCCTCGAAAACGTCGCCGTATGGCACCTTTTTTAGAGGTAACGACGAGTTGAAGTCCTCCGCTTCCAGCTCAATCTCCTCCATCTCCGACATCGCGATGGCGGCGGTCGGTAGTGGGAACTGGGAATTGATCCCTAACTCACTGCTCATCTATATCCCCACATAGTCTGTACTAGAAAGTTTTACCTATCCTGTCTGTTGCTTTGACAAAGAAGTGCACAACAAAAAATACACCCGGCAAAATAAAAGACTGAGAAACACAGCTGTAGAATTTCATATTTGATTTGATGAAATGTGTGAGTTAAATAGTGCTCCAAAATATGAACTTAAGAACATAACTTGAAAAATTCTAAGCTTCAAGTGTGCAGTTTATTGCCCATATAAATGTGGACAGCCCAATGAACCCCCAGAGAAAAAAGCAAGGAAGAAGAAGCATAAGGAACTACAACCGTGAGCTTATAATCAAAGAGAAAGGAAGTTGCATAAAATTTTGTTAATATAAAAACAAACGGTAGGTTCGAGGGCCTGACTCCTCGAAAACCTAAAAATTAGGGATTTAGTTATTATTAAGGGTTTTGATTGGGTTGATTAGGCCACACAAGCAAGCAAGGCAAACAGAGCAAGTAAGGCTCAATTCGACAAAGGAACCGCATAAAAAGGCTAAGCATTCTCGTCTCAATTAAAACCACACAACAATTCACCTCATGCTCTCACATAAAAAAAAAAAAA